AGACTAGGAAAAATGCGCCCAAAGTTAACACTCATGCGTGATTATTCAATGGGCTCAGCAAGGCCCGAAAGTATAGCTCAATTTCATTGTCCTGTCCTGTTGGTTTTAATCTTGCGAGGTCTTAAAGTTCCATATCTTCTGAAAGGCACCTTTATTGGGAATGGAATGGCAAACAGAAAGTATGCCACAACCTTACTAAGGTCAAAAAAATACCATTTACAAAACCCTTACAGACACCATGTTGAAGGAACGGTATTCTAAATAAATGTAGGAAATCAACAATGTTTTCCACACTTTTCCACTCCGAAATATATCCTATCAAATTCGCCACTTTCTCTTGCACAAGTCAACGCCTAGTTTGGCTGCCGGAACTTGCCTGAACAAAGAATATTCACATTAGAGTATCTTAACACCCCACTCTAGGAGCGCTAGGGCAAACAGCACGATATATGTATGTTCCGGACAGAGGCGAATAATTTTACTTCGTGATTTATATGATGCATATTTTCTGAGACACATTCATTAGGAATAGGATGACAAGTGTAAATAATACATACCGTAACCTTATTAACCCTTGCACTTGTGGGGAGGGGGAGGGGGAGGGGTCGGATAAAACCCCATGGTTTTCCGCAAATTACTCGCGCAAAAAGCGGCCGATTGCGACGAAACTTTCGGTACCCTCGAGATCATCAATTTTACATCTAACCTAAAACTTTCATGACTCTGACCCAACTGACCTTTGACCTGTGGCATATTTCTCGAGACCATGTTTGGCCGGAATCGTGATTCGGCGTATGCCAGTTCACATTATCCGCGGTTTCCAGTCTTTTTGTGGTTTTAAACGCTCAAATATGTGAAATGATGTTGGTCCCATGCATTATGGTGGGTGATAAGGTCACGTGAAGGTCAAGTCAAGGTCATTGACCTTTGATGACCTTGGTTCACTTTTTCGGGTTTTACTTGTTTCTAGGGTACTTTTTGGTGCTGATTTCGAATTTAGCAACCATTTGAATATTTACGAAGTAGTTCTGGTGCCTTCGTACCATGTTACGAAGCTATCAGTAGTAGGTGACACCTACTATGAATGGCCGGCAGGACGCCTAATGGTTGATCTAACCTGACCTGACCCGACCTGGCCTAAATGCATAAAGACATCGTCTGTGATCAAAATTAGCATGAAATTCGTGATCAGCACCCCAAAATACCCCGTAACACCCTAACTTTGTTAAGTTTCAAGAGGTCTCGATTTCCCAACTTTAGTTGGGTCATTAAACTGACTTGGAAAGTCAACTAATGGCCTTGGACTTTGAAATTGGATATATTCGGCCTCATTTCGTCATAGGCAGCACGCTTGATTTTTCCGCGAAGCTCTAGCTTGATCAGGGGCCAAACGGCTGAGCCGGGGGTCCAATTGAACCCCCTATACTATGTTGACTATGCACATTTACAGGTAAAATTCTCACCAGAACACACCAGCCAGCATCTGTGCACAATCTGGCTACAATATTACCTATGGTTTGCCCTCTACGAATAAAGACGTGCTAGATCGGAAAAATCCCCACTGTGCATTGGTAAAAAGTCAAACATCCGCATTCCGCATCCATAGCCGTCATCTTGAATTACTCTTACATGCGTCCTGACCCGAAGGCGACATCTGATTGTGCAGCCCACTGAGATAGCCGACGGCCATCAGCACACACACAAACACACACAAGCACACACGCAGACAAGTCGATGACGTAGCGCGACGGCCGGGTTCCGGGGAGGAGGCGATGGCGTGCTGGCACGAGGCCAAAATCGGCTCCGGCGCCGCCGGCGGAGACCGAGCAGCGGCGCCGCCGGCGTGGGACGGGGATTGTATGTACGCTGGCAAAGGGTGGATGGTGCTTTTAGGAAAATGGTCGAGGAAGTCAGTCGCAGCGTGACCGCACAGTACATATCAGTAACGCGTGACGGTAAATGCCGTTGATGTGATGAGTGTCTCACATTTTGGACAAAGTGAGGGATGTCCAGAGTGTGACGGCGCCTGTTTGGCGCTGTGACGGCGCCTGCTCGGCGCTGTGACGGCAGCAGCTCGGCGCAGTGACGGCGCCTGTACAGCGCTGTGACGGCGGCAGCTCGGCACTGTGACGGGTCAGCTCGGCGCTGTGACGGCGTCAGCTCGGCACTCTGACGGCGTCAGCTCGGCACTCTGACGGCGGCAGCTCGGCGCTGTGACGGCGCCTGTACAGCGCTGTGACGGCGGCAGCTCGGCACTGTGACGGGTCAGCTCGGCGCTGTGTGGCGCCTGTACAGCAGTGTGACGGCGTCAGCTCGGCACTGTGACGGCGGCAGCCCGGCGCCGCTCGTGTGACGGTGTGTGACGCTAGTCGCGTGACAGTCCGTTACGTCCGCTCGGTGGTCGGCACGCTGGGAAAGCGTGCGATGGGTGCGAGGAGCGTCGGCCTGGGCTTCGGTCTTTGTTCAGACAGACTGTACATTTACGGCCAGCGCGACGGATGATTATAGGAGCGATGGACACAATTGTGTTCGAAATGGGTTATAATTCGGAACATGGTCCATAACACGATACATCAATCGTGACCGGTTTATTCGATGACGACCAGGCAGTAATGGGCTGTTAGATCGGACAATAATGCATGCCATCAAAAGCAAGTCCGAAAGATAAAATCGAATTAGTCTAGAGCATGATTCGGACTGGTTCGTTTGTTGCGATTTGACATTCATTTAATATCGACGGAATGATGAGGAAACTAAAAAAAGATGTCATTTTTTACTAATAGAAACCTGCGCCATCACTATTGTGTTTTTTTATTTCAATTGCGAAGCAACATGAGAAAGAAATTGATGAATGAGCTTTCGCCGCTAAGGCATCACCAGATTCTCTGATGATGCCTTAGAGATGATGATGCCTTAGCGGCGAAAGCTCATTCTGTATTTCGGTCATTTCAATTGCTAAAATAATACATTTGTGCCATGTTAATGATCAATTTCTTTGCCATTTTATTTATAGTAATCATGCTAATCATGGCGAAAAATGTCATCCATTACATTAAACATTTGCGAAGTATTTGATGACGAGGTGAGTTTTATTTTAAATTTGTCCCGTATCCAAAGATCGTATGGTTGGCCCTAACTAAAATAAATTACTTCCTGCAATAATCCTTTTTCGCGCTATCCTCGCATATCACGCACCAGCCGTAAATTTCAATTTGCAAATCTCCACATAAGATGTCAACCGAGCGGACAAAAATCTCGCTTTGATATTTCCATACAGGACTGCGTCTCGGAGCAAACAGGTCTAAAAACAAAGCTCTGAGAGCTGATTAGCGCGCGCGACGGGGACGACCAGAGGGAGAGCAAAGATCGATCAGACGCACCACCGGCAGCGGAGAGCGAATCGACCGCGAGACGACGCAGAAAAAACGGACAGACCAGAGCGCCGGCCCGAGGACGAATGGTGCTGGCGCCGAGAACGGATTGACCGAGAAACGGAATGGCCGGAAAAATGGATTGACCGATGGGTCAGAAGGGAACGGGAGCAACCAGAACACAAATAGACTAGAAACCTTGAATTACTGGTGTATCGAATCTTTTGGGTTTAAGTGTTTTATTGTATTGAGAGCAGATGATAGAATGCAAAGACACGTGGCCTCTGATGTCGCACCGACGGAGAATAAATAAAAACGAATTAACGAACTGGAATAGTATATATCGAGTACTGAAGACTAAAGGAGGCATTCTTTTAGACTTTTTAATTAACAAATATGACTTTTAAACTTAAACACAAACAAACAAACTTCAACTTTAACAAACTTAAAAAACTGTTCTTTCAGAATACCGTATGACTCTAAATTGCAATTTTCTGACAGATTCGGCAACAGAATTAGAATAAACTGTAAGCATCGGTCCGGACGCCTCCCTGCTGTCGCCCCATCCGCGCCGTCCGCCGCGGGGCTGGCTGGCTGGCTCGGGGCGGGCACACCCCAGCCCGGACCCGTAAAAAAGCGGCAACGCCAGGTGATCGGCGCCACACGTTTTTGCCGGCTGGAAGCCCTCAGGCGTGCTGGCTAGCGCGCAGCCGTGACTCGACGCTGGCGCGCGGCCAGCCGAACCGTGCGAGCGGGCCCCTCTGACCCCCCGGCCCCTCCCTCACCCCGCGCACTGCCCCCCTCCGCCCCTCTTTCAGACACCACGCAGCCGATCGACGAGCGGACGAGCAGCGCTTCCGTAGCCAGCATAGAGCCAGGCGATATTCGATAACCAGTGACGCAAACAGCGATTATCGAGGCCTGCGATGATTGGATGCCCTAAAATTAGAACATTCCACAGCGCACTGGGCTCAGGGAGACGCGTACCCTGAAAAGCTGGATGACGCACACACATGATGCCTCGTTTTCGCTGACGACTATATACAGCAGCCTTATTGTGCTGCGAGGGTGGGCATAAAGGCTTCCAGCCGGATAGAGATAGCAAAGAAGATTTAAATAAATGAGGAGTTGTCCTTTAACAGAAAAATATGCCTAACTGTGCAGTGTGCTCCGACTGCACAGTGCACAGCTTAAAAAGCACCCAATATCCACAGCATCCTTATCATCTAAAATATTTATCATTAACGCCCAATATGACTGTTGCTCACCTCACATGCAGGCACTTTGTTATTCATATTAATTAATATGTTCAACCTTTTTATTATTTTTTATCTAGTTATTTGATTAGACTTTTTATTATTTGATCAGGCGCCCGGGATGTCAGCGACCGCTCGGGTGGCTGTGGTGTCAGGATAATATGTCAGTAGTATAAGTTCGGGCGACTGCTAATTCAGTGGCCGAGGCCCGTTCGGGCAGCTGGTTACGAGTTTCGGCGCCCGTTTGGCCGGCTGTGGCGCCACTACCCGTCGTCAGTGACCTGGTCGGGCGTACATAAATATGTGGACAGTTGGTATATGTTAGGCTGGTATATCAGCCCACATCAGTGACCCGCCCGGGCGGCGCGCTCACCTTTTTGGCGTCGTTGTTGTTGTCGGTGAGCACGGCGGCGCCGTTGGCGGGCACCGCGCCGGCGAGCACGGTGGCTCCGTTAGCGGAGACGGCGCCGGCGCTGGTCAGCATCTCCTCAGAGCCCGTCTGGAAACAGACAGAGCGGCACCATCAGATGACAGGAGAGGTGAAACGAGAGAAACGTGTTTATAATTCCGTGACACGTTTAACGCTGCTATTTTTATTCTCTTATCCCTTTTTATTGGTGCTTTTATTAATGCCACTTTTTACCTTCTACATTTTATATTTTTTTAATTCGAATGTTTTAAATAGGCGGTTGAAAAAAGTCTGAACCTGTACAGTGCTTATGGCGCAGTGCCTGATCCCCACTGGCCTATCGAGAAATTCCGATGGTCGAGGAGCTTTGGATGACAAAGTTTAACGTACCCTCATAGCCGAACAATGGATAAGAACTGCCGGAAGTGCTGGTGAATGGCCTCAAATTCGCCCCTTATCGCTCAGCCGGTACTTCTCTCCGCTGCAAGTCCACAGCACCAACACGGCTGCTCAGTGCCACCCTCCACTGTCAGAGTGGCCGGCCGAGCGGGACCGAAAGACGGTACCGGAGAGAGGAGAGGAGAGGGAGAGGGCGAGAGCGCGCGATATTGACCGCACCTGAGGCGGCGGCACCCGACACCGTCCGACAGTGCAGCGGGGCGCCGTGGAGCGCCGCCGGTCACACAGTGAGTGGACACATTCCAGAGCCGCGGCGGCGGCCGGCGCTGAATCCGCCAGTAACGCAGCTGGGGAAGCATGGCGCCGAGACCCGACCACCGCCGTCGCGGGGAGCGGCGACGGAGCGGCCCGGTCGGAACCGCACGAACCTGAACCTGGTACTTGGCACGTAAAATTGTAGCGTGGTAAAATAACTAATATCTTGCGCTTGACTTTTGATATTGACTACTCAGTTCAACAATCTTGATTGTCAGCAATGCTAACAAAAGATGTCTTCCGTAATGAAAAGCACCCTCAACGCCTCCAACTTCAAGCAAAATTGATGATACTTACACCACCGCGCGCCACCAAAACTACTCCTTCCGACGAGATAGGTAGACGTTAACATTTGCGTCGGGCTAAGTAGCTACCCATCATCAGCTACCTACAAACAATATGCTGGGCACATCATGGAAGCGACACATTGCTTAGGAACACGCACATATTCCCAATGACTATCAAGCATCAACAACATGCCAGAAACCAGGCGCTGTGGTCCAGCGCGTTGGGCGACGGGCCGCGTTGATGCGAGCTTAGATTCCTGTCGCTAGATGGCCCTGTGAGTCGACGCCTGGAGTTATGCTGTGCCGCCAGACACAGCCGCGGTCGGACGGACGGAGTCGTGACGTTTCACTGCCGCAAGCTGGCCGAGACGGAGAGACGACGGAGATTTCCAAGAAAAGCGCGGTATCTATATGGACTCCTAGACTTAAAGGCAATCATCGGGCGATCAGAGAGCTAGCGGGTAACTATAGTTACTCGCTTGATGCTTTGATAGCATAGACCAATTATGGCTCAGTTCAAATAACCCAGTCCAAGAGCAGCGAGAAGAGGCATTTACAGATGGCCCTGCAGTAGGCTGGAAACTTCTCCTCAGACACCGACAATGTCGAAATCCCAAATTAACGTGTGAGAACAGTCAGCTGGCAAGATTGGATGACAGGCGAAAGCAATCAAGAAGATTTTCGACGCGAAATTGAAATTCCTCTTCCACGAACACTGAGAAAATAAACAGCACCGACTGAGGGCGCTGCCGAAAAGGGTTGTGCTGATTAGCAATGCATGGACTGAGTCTGCTGAGTTTGTGATCGGTCCAGTTGTGCAGTGGTGGTGGCGGTCTTGCATATTGCGTGCGCAAAATAATGTTTTTGAATAAGATGCTCATTAATCCCCAGATATAAACTATATAAACAGAAATCGAGGCATTATCAGGATTAGCCTTCTAACATGAGCAGTTCGGCTCTAGGGTGACGTCTAAAAATTACGAGTCCGATAAGTAGGTATTGGATGGATGAATGAGTCGACGGTAGGCTGAAAGTGACGAGATGTCGATTAATTACCTACCTATAATTCAATAACAAAATGCGGCGAAGCCGTACCTAGCAAACTCCAATCCGCGACGATACTTCTGAATGTAACGTGCACCTACCTCTGAAAATAGGGTAACTGTGGGGAAAACGCACCCCTGGGTTAAACGCCTCCCCTAAAAAAATCGTATTTCTTATCGACGGATAGGTGTTTTAACCTGTCTTTCAGAACAGTCAGCTGCTTGTTTACGTATGTCTCTATTTCCGGTTCTGCGTCTTGAGGAGCAGCGTAGGTAGGTGCTGATGTTGGTTTTGGGTGTTGTTTTTGTTGTTTTTACAGAAGATTCCTAATATTTTGATGCCCTCTTTATAACACAAAACTTGCTATTGTGCACATCACTCAAAACTGCGTTTTATTGTCATTCTGTTGAATTTATTATGCTGCGGCGTTAGTGGCGCGTTTTTTGTCAATATTTTGTTGACCGGAAATGGAGCGAATGGGGAAAGACGCCTACTCGATGCATGGGGCAAGACGCCCCCAGTTTTCTGTAAGGGGGGCGTTTTGCACGGTGGTGAGAGTGCAGGGTAGCGCCCTGTAGGTCGGGGCCGAAAAGGCCTCTCCCTGTCCTTTTTTTGCTGATATATCCTAAACGACTGCAGATATCGTCACCAAACTTTCAGGACTCCTCCGGGCATCCATTTTACACATTGCAACAAAATTTTATTCCAAAGGCTATGATAGGTTGACCACAAATGACGTCAGAATGACGTCAAGTTCTGCCACGTTCATCATGTTCTGTTCATGGATGGGGTGGGGGCGCTTTGCACATGGGTGTGGGCGTATTACCCAGGGTGTGGGGCAAAACGCCCTTTTGTAAGGGTAAGCGAAAACCTTTTTGGGGGGTTAAATACCACACGCAGGTGTCTTTTCTTGGTCTCAAAGCGCAGCAAAAAGAATGAGCTACATGATGGTGCCCAAAGGTTTGAGTAATCTATGTTGGGTTGAATGTCAGAAGGTTTCGCGCTTAAGGGGGGCGTTTTTGACCTATTCACCCTAATGTCCACGATATGTTGCGCAATGTTTGATTGTGATATACCAGCCATGCCTTCTAACGAATTCTTATCTTACATTTTAATTAGGTTAAGTTAACTCGCGCACCGAGGTGTTTCGTTAATAGCGGAACAACTGCGGTGCGTAGCGCCGCGAAATTTTGCATGACTATTTCCCAATCAATTTTACACATTGTATGCAAGTTTGAACTTCCTACCTTTATAGGTCAAGTCGTCAGGTCACTTCGAATGACCCGACCTCAAATCACTTTTTTGCAACTTTGTCACCGTGTCAGAGAGCTACAGTAGATGATGGAGTCCTTTGAAAGTTGCAGGATGTAATTAGGTCATTGGCACCTACAATTTGTGTATCTCGGAATTTTGAAATAGATAACCTAAGGTCAGGTCAGTTTTTTAACCTCCCCATTGTCAATGGGGGAAAAATCAACTGCCTGATTTTTTCACAAAAAAGCGTCGGAATGGCCTAATATACCATGAATGACTTCATATACGATCAACCTTGACTACCTTGAGGCCTTTTGCTCTTGGGCAACTGTAAGGTCATTTGATGTCATCAAAGGTCACCAAATATTTTTTGAACTCCTTACAGGGACGAGATACAGCCGCGCGAATGGTCTCATTGTGTTCAGCTCGTCAAGGCGCATCGAATGACATACATGATGACCTTGAGGTCACATGATCTGAGGCCAACCTTTGACCTTGATCTTTCGAGGTCAACATTATGTTTCGATGCGGATCGGCGAGAGGATTACGATGGTGTTATCAGTTTGCTCCTTGCTAGGCTACTTCGAAAGTTATTAGAGAAAAACTATTCATACCTAGCCCCGCTATTTTGACTTTTTTGACCCCTGTGACGTCAGCTTTGACCTGACCTGAATATGACCTCGATAAAAATTGTATTGATTAAAATTGTATTGTAAAAATTGTATTGACCTTGTTCGTGTGTAACCCATGCCGTTTACCGCTTGTCGCATCTTGCTTCCTTCTCGAGATCTCGGGGGGGGGGGGGGGGCGTCGGTTCTAAGTTGGCGCAGACCCCCTTCGGGGTGTAGATTAAAATCGATCTCTGTACATCAACAACTGGATAGAGTTCAGCCGCAGCTCGGTATACTAAGCGTACAGGTCATATCTAGAAATTACGCCTCAGTCAGGGCAAATAATTAATAAACATCTACAGATTCTATGTAAGGGGACAGCTGCTCAGAGGGGACGGCGCGGGCCGACGTGGTCACGTGGCCGTCACGGTCGGCTCGTCGGCGTCCGACCGAGCCGGCACCATGGCGTATTGATCACCGGCCGCGGCGCGACGAGCGCGACTGACAGGCGGCCGACTCGGTCGGACAGAGACACACGTGCGCCGCGGTCACCGGCGCGCAGCTGACACTCACCATAGCCAGGGCAGCACTGGAGACCTCCAGCGTGAGACAGAGAGGACAGCGAAGGCGGAGCCGACTGCGACACCAGGGCCGGTCGCCGAGCTCCCGAGACAGAGCGGAGAGCGCCAACGGCGGCCGAGCGCGGCGACCGTCCGGCACCAGCAGGACAGAGTGAATGAAGTCGGCGCCGTCGGCGGCGGCGGGCGCGCGGCACTGCGCAGGGTCGTCGGCTGGCGCCTCCCACTATTGATCCCAGTTTCAACAGGTGCTGCCGCCGCGCCGGTGGGCGGCAGGTAGGAGGCGTCTCTGGCGCGGCCGTGCTAAATGCGCCGGCGAGTGCCACTGACGACCTGTCGTCCATTGCTGGTGTCACCGAGCCGTGGAACTGGCTAGAGCCTCTCACACAACGGACGGCCGCTGCTGCTGCTAAGTGACGCATTACGACCACGGGTGTATTATAACAAATGGAGTCCTTCTCGCCGGAGCGCGGTTACCGTGACATTCATTAGACAAAACAGCAGCTCTTCCAGTTTTTTTTTTTGTCATTTTGGTACATCATTGGCACAGCCGCACTTGTGACTGCAGTTAAAAATACCAATTGAGTGTAAGACTTAACCCTATTCCGGGCGGGGGGGGGGATTCGGCCCCCTCCTCAGGGTTTTCTTGTGCCATTGCCAAGCGCCGCAAGACTGAAAGCTCATACTTGGTGACTTTTCATAAACATTCATTGCGCACATTTTGACAAAAAAGTTGCCGGGTCAGGTCAAGTCAGGTCACCAGAGGCGGTTTGTTGACCCCACCTCAGAAAAGTTTGCAATCACGCCAGAGCTAGCTAGAGTTTTTGACTGATAAATTTCTTCTCCTCAAGTTTAAGTTGGGACACCAGTATGTGCAATTTGAATATCTCAGAATTTTCATATCTGTGACCTGAGGTCAGGCCAGACTCGTGACCTTTACATTGCAAGCCTATGGGAAAGTATTGAAATGTCTCCTGCTTCGTGTAAACGAGTCAAAACCACCCAATTCTTTCAGTAGTGTGGAATATTATCTCATCGGTGATGATCCTGGTGCCGCTTATAGACAGGGGCACCGGAAAAGGTCATCTGAGGTCTTGTGACGTCATAAATGTTTTTTTTTTGTCAATAAATGACGACATGATGGCGCTAAAGACTTGTAAGTGGTACCATACTGCTAGTCTGGTCAAGGTGCGTCGTTTGATATGCAGCATGACCATACCTCACCATCATTGGTGAATGACCTGACCTTGACCCCGGGACAAATTTCAAATTGACCTGTAAAGGTCATCGCATACTTATTTCGCATCGCCTCGACGATAGCAACAAAAAATGTATGAATTTTAGGTCTCTGTGATTCTTAGTTCAAAAGTTATACATATGAGTAAATTCCAAAACATTTTATTGTTGATGACCTCTGGTGACCTCAATATTGACCTGACCCGAAAATGTTTCATGTAAAAATTGTAGATCTTTAAACGACTTATCAAACACTGTTTGCCGTTTGTCGCTCCGACGTGTGGTTTTTGAGATTTGAGAGCCCCCGCCCAGAATCGAACCTTCAGAGCCCGCCCGGAATAGGGTTAAATCGGTGATGATTGTTATGTTTCACATGGAACCCGAACGACTGCACTGATCATATTTTCATGCAAAGAGACAGGTGCTCAACATTTAATTCTCGAGCAAGTAAGTGTTTTGCTACATGCAAAACACAAAGCTGTATGCTTGCAAAGGACCGAGACCTGTTCCAGTTTCACAATGCGTTTCGGCCGTCCCCCGGGGGCGGGGAGCGCCTTTCTTCCTGCCGGCACCATTATTCCAGGCGGCAGCCATCAGTGGAAAATATTCAGCGTGGAGGCTCGCTCGGCCGCCACAGGGCGTGTTTTTCCCATTAGGAGAGCGACGCCTGCATATCCAAACGGGAGCTGCGCGACGGCTTCAGTTGGGACCGTTTAAAAGGCACGCTCTCAATTGAAACAACTCAGTGGAAATGGTGTTGTGGTTGGACAAAACATTCTACGATTGGAACAATGAGCGATTTGCCGTTGCTTAATCCTCACCTTTATACACTGAATACCTGTCGAAAACTGTCACGTTAGGAACGATTTACAGATCTGTATATTAAATACCGTCCGTCCGTTTATTTAGGTGTCTTTACAAACTGCAAACATGAAACAATCTACGCGCTAAATTTTTTATTTGCCAGTCATTCTGATTTTCAATAATAATTGAATGCCACAGCCTCAGACAGTGACACTAACGCAAACAGTTGTGCGCAACTAGACCTGTGTTTAAGTGTGACGCCCAAATGGATTTGGATCAACAGTCATCCAACATAGGTAGGTACAAATAGCCAATCAATTTCATTCCATCATCCCCCGCTCTAACACCACCACGCTCACTCCGCACTCGCCACGGTTGTACCAAATGCGGTACCACGACCCACCTGTCCCAGATCGGTTATCCACGAGGCCACGCGCTCCATGTGCACCCGCAGCTCCTCCGCCGCCTCCTCCGCAGTTTGCCTCTCTTCGTCCTCCCGCTCCATCAGCGGAGCCACACAACACCGATACACGCGCTACTCCAATAAAATCAGCTATGTGTCACCCATTTAAAACCGTGCTAAGGGTTGTGATTGTGAGTGGCTAAAATACGCACCCGCCAAACGTAGTGCACCTCCGGGCGCTGGCAGCTGGGGTGGCCGCGGAGGCGGGACGGCGGGCGGCGGCCGACTGAGCGCTGACCTCGGTCACCGCCGGCGCACGGGTCAGGTCGCAGAGGCGCCTCCAGGCCAAGATTCTCCAGGCGGATCGGAAGGGGGATTTAAGCAAGGGATTTAAGTGCTGAAGGAGCAGTCTGTGGGAAGAAACAATATGCTGGTTACAAAAATAAACATGTTAAGATAAGTGCAAAGTGAACTTGTTTAGCTTGTGGCTCTTACGACTTTTGATTGTAGTGTGGAAAACTAGGCACACGCCGGCCTCTCTCACATCGCCACACCGAGCAGCCGGGCCGCCAGCACTCGGAATGCTCGGCCAAGGTCCCGTCGGCCTGACAGCGACGCCCGAGGCGGCCCAGGCGCACCTCGCCAGGGCTGACTCTGGACCAGCCGACCATGGCAAAGTGGACCAAGGGCACGGCAGCCCGGCGACGGCGCCCGGGGCAGCGGTGCAGCCAGCCCGCGCGGTGGGGCGAGTCACGGCCGACGAGGAGCGCCCGGGGTGGGGACGTACGGGGCGGGGGTGCCGAGGGCCTGAGGCGACCCCGCCCTGGACCAGCTCAGCTCGACGGTGGTGTCACGTGGGCCTCCTCCCGACGGCGAACTGGGGAGGGGGCGAGGCTGGCCGTGGCGCCGCCGTATATAAAGCGTGTGCTCGGCGGTTCGAGTTCAGTTCTTCGGCTCCATGGTCTCCAATCTCCAGTGGGAGTCTCCAGTCGGAGCCTCCAGCAGGGAGTTTGCAGTCTTCTTCGGTCTTCAGTCTTCGTCAGTCTGCGGCAGCTCTTCGGTCAGCAGTCTTCGAGTTATCTCGGCCCGTCGGTCGAGACCCCGAGGCCGCTGAGTGCTCTGGTGTGTGCGACTGCGAGTGTTGTGAAAGTGATCATGTAAGTACTACAACGGGTTCAACCAGCCGCGCTGATGGCGCGCTGGTTGGGCCGTAGGTTGTGTGTGAGTAGAGAGGGAATGGATTGCGAATGTTGAGTGGCTGTGCTTTCCCCATCCTTAATAATAACACCTCTATGTGCAAACGCTGTCTGTGGGGCGGTGCTGAGCGGGGGCTGAGGCGATGGAGAGTCGGACTAGCGCTGGAAAGTAGACGAATTGCAGAGCCACACATCCAAACAAGTAGGTAGGATAAAACTTATTTTCACACTGGTGTCAGAAGTGGGATAGAGTTGTTGAATTGACCTTGTCATTTAATGGCTTCCGTTTTTAACCGAACGGCGAACCTTCTAAATTTTAGGGATGCTGTGGCTAATTTTAATAGAAATTAAAGAATTGGTGTTCTGTTACTGTCTCCATTCAAAATTATTTGAGCTGATTGTTTAATTTCAAATTTAAAGCACCTTTTTCTGTTGTCCGACCAAGGTCCCCATCGGCCGCTCGCACACCGCCCCAGCCGAGGTGTTCCTTTCCCTTTCACGGGTCCCGACGTTGTGTAGACTGGGCGCCCGACTGACCCAGTGACGGTAACCTTGGGACGCCTCATAACGGCTTTGTGATTGGTGGGAGTGTTTTCTCCTGGATTCCTGATTGGCGGTGAGGTTTGTGCTTACAGTGGCTAGCCGGTCCCGTAACAGAACAACGTAAACTGTGCCGGTATTGTATTGTCTCAAAGAGGAGTGTCGGCTTGTATGGCTCTGGCAGTCATTCATCCGACTGTGGTGTCTGATCAGTCGTGGAAGCGTGGTGCTGTGAAATTCGAGTCCAAACTGGTGGTCGGGAGCAGTACAGTGTTGGTGGTCCAGGAGCTTCTACAGGAAACCAGGTGTTCTTGTAGCCCTGTCGGCAACAGCAGGATGCTGTTTGCGGGTGTGACATTGCAGGATGTGATGGGCTGGTGGGTTGCCGTCCAGATTTAGTGGTGTCTAAGTGAGTCATTATCTGCAGGTGCAGTTAGTTAGAATGTTAGAGCCGATCGGGACTAGTGTGTCGTTGGGAAATATGTGTCATTAGGACTATATTTCGCCGGAGGCTTCCTCCGTGACCGGGACGTTTGATTTAGGAGCTAAGCAGGACTCGGTGAAGTCGTATATACGCCGAAAGGAGCCCAGTGGAGTCCGTGCAATAGCGCCTTACCTTCTGCCGGGGAAGGTTAAACTAGGGGGTCGTGCGCTCTCCTCTTGTAACTTGAAAGCTGCAGCTCAAGTTCAAGGAATTGCCTATAATCAAACGTCACCGAGTGTCTTCCCGTCTTACTACTGGGTCAGATCGGGCGAGGTGAAGCGGACACATCCGATAGTACCCGATGGCATTTGTGCCTGTGGATAGTGACTGCACAGTGACGACCGGAAGGAGCCCTGGAGTCCTCAAGGGACTATCCATGCAACGTTAACACTGGAGGACCGACAGCTTATAAGCCCATGCTGACAGCTGACAGGAGAACTGAACTGACCATGATACCACCCGACAACGACACAGTGGGAACGTCTCCCAGTCGGATGGCGCGTCTTACACCTCTTTACAGGAACAGCAGTGCTAGCCCAACCCTGGAGAGTGGAGACTGCCCGCACTGAGCTTTGCCCAGTCACAGCGCCGCTCCAGAGGACTCGGCAGACGCCGATAATGAGCCTCTGTGCGAGGCTGTGGACGAGCCGGTCCTGACAATCGGACCGAGGAGGTCCACTCGGGTCCGGAGACCGCCTTTCCGGTTCCGAGACCTCTAGTCCTTGTAGATGTTTAGGAGGTGCTGGAGCTTGAGACGTAGAGATAGTTCAGTCGAAGGCGTATTTAAGGGCAGTGAATGACGTTCCGTAGAGGCCGAGAAAATAGCTCAGAGCAGATCAACTATACATTCCAGTAGATTAATCAGTCACTGATGTGAAGTCACTTGATTAGCAATCTGCTCAGAAAGAATCTTCCGACTGTCATCTCTGCACTGGTGATTGCCCTGATTGAAACATATCCTTTTATGTAAAATTGTATTTAAATGGCAATTGACATTACGTTTTACTGAGCAACACGGCTAGTTTGACGCCGTCATTGTTTATTCATAGCTGTAACGGTAAATGAGTGAGATGAGTCGCCCATCATGAAAAAAAGTTAAATCTGCAACTGGTTCTACTGCATAATGATCAGAGCCTTCTGAGTTCTGCGCAATCCATTAGCGATTCAAGAATTGCCCTATTAGCATGTCCTGCATCCTACCACTCTGTCGACATGCCCGTCGCCAACCGCCACGTGAATCTTATGCCAATTTTATCGTGATTAAGTAGAGCCCGAAGAGATTAAATGGGCTAGTTGTGAAATGTCTGTGATGAACGCTAATGCTTGACGTTGAGGGTTGACAAAGCCTGTCTCTCCCAATTTCACTCTCAGTAAAAGGCAAGTTGGCCGTTTGTCCTCATATCCTTACCTAGTTCATCACGATTGAAACCCCTGAGTCATGCTGAGCATTGTTCCGCGTAGTCGTAAAAAGGACCAAAGAGGGCATACAAAGTGGATTGACCGCGGTGTGGTACACCTCTGACTAGACCCAGGCACTTGAGGTTGCACGGACAGTGTGGGCCAACCTGACCTACGACATCTGTCACTCGGCTTTCTGCTAACCTGACAGGCCACGCCTGCAGACAGCGAACGAGGCCTCCTCACGACGTTATCGGGTTATGCGGATATCCTGAACAGGTGAGGCCTACCGGCTATCCCGAGCGGAGACCCGTCATCCACGTAGGCTGCCTGATTGCATACCAGTGGTTCGTGTCACGTGCGAAACCGTCACCGTTGTTCTTGGGTATCAACATACTCAGATCGTCACTACGGAGTGCCAGCCACCAAAGGAGCTCTTACCCTGGTCTAGCTCTGCGTATTATCGCAGCATGAATCGTTCCGCTCACGGCAACGCCACTACGCAGCCTTATGAAGGTCCGAGTCACGGCGCTGCAGGACTGCTCTTAGCATGACAACCTGGACATCCTCCCATCACATTGAGTAATTCCCAGGCCTTCCTGGCTGTCCAACTGACAACGGCGAGCTACTGGCGCACACGGATCACGCTCACAACTATACTAACTAGACTGGCGCAGTGAGTTGAGTAAGCAACGGCCCCCAAGTCAAATGGCCACAGCCGTTCACAATATGGCGGCTCCTTTTCCTTTCCAGCCGACAGTCATGTCTTATCCTGGTCGTGTCGTGATGTGCAGTAACTGGCTCTGATAACCTAGATAAATTGATTCCATAACCGGGCTATGCAGTACCAGATCCAGATGACAGTCAGGGAGCAGCAACAATCGGGGGCCTTTTTCTCGACTAATGTCTCTGCCCAAGTGTGTTTGATCGGTGCTGACTGTGTCTCGTATGCCGGCAGAACGCAGATCTACCTCATTCCCTCCCCCTATGGCGACAATCATTTGTTCTCCATATTGGTGGAAGGGATGTGGAAAACTAGGCACACGCCGGCCTCTCTCACATCGCCACACCGAGCAGCCGGGCCGCCAGCACTCGGAATGCTCGGCCAAGGTCCCGTCGGCCTGACAGCGACGCCCGAGGCGGCCCAGGCGCACCTCGCCAGGGCTGACTCTGGACCAGCCGACCATGGCAAAGTGGACCAAGGGCACGGCAGCCCGGCGACGGCGCCCGGGGCAGCGGTGCAGCCAGCCCGCGCGGTGGGGCGAGTCACGGCCGACGAGGAGCGCCCGGGGTGGGGACGTACGGGGCGGGGGTGCCGAGGGCCTGAGGCGACCCCGCCCTGGACCAGCTCAGCTCGACGGTGGTGTCACGTGGGCCTCCTCCCGACGGCGAACTGGGGAGGGGGCGAGGCTGGCCGTGGCGCCGCCGTATATAAAGCGTGTGCTCGGCGGTTCGAGTTCAGTTCTTCGGCTCCATGGTCTCCAATCTCCAGTGGGAGTCTCCAGTCGGAGCCTCCAGCAGGGAGTTTGCAGTCTTCTTCGGTCTTCAGTCTTCGTCAGTCTGCGGCAGCTCTTCGGTCAGCAGTCTTCGAGTTATCTCGGCCCGTCGGTCGAGACCCCGAGGCCGCTGAGTGCTCTGGTGTGTGCGACTGCGAGTGTTGTGAAAGTGATCATGTAAGTACTACAACGGGTTCAACCAGCCGCGCTGATGGCGCGCTGGTTGGGCCGTAGGTTGTGTGTGAGTAGAGAGGGAATGGATTGCGAATGTTGAGTGGCTGTGCTTTCCCCATCCTTAATAATAACACCTCTATGTGCAAACGCTGTCTGTGGGGCGGTGCTGAGCGGGGGCTGAGGCGATGGAGAGTCGGACTAGCGCTGGAAAGTAGACGAATTGCAGAGCCACACATCCAAACAAGTAGGTAGGATAAAACTTATTTTCACAGTAGGATAAAAGCAAGGTGAACAGCGCCTTTGCCAACTGTAATTTCTGTAAGATGTAACTTTTTCAATACCTAGTGGTCAACTGCAACTCAGAGCACTGAATGGTCTTGCAACTATCTCTCTGAATCAGTGGCGTATCCAAGGGGGGACCCTGGGGGTCCTAGGGTCCCCCCTGGAGCAAAAAAATTTTTTTTTTACTCGAAAAAATTGAAAACACTTTGAGGGCCCTTTTCACCACTTACATTTTTTTTTACATAATGAAAAGTATCAATTACATTTTTAGGGACCCTTTTAGGACTATCAGAGGACCCCTTTAGGCCAACGAGGGACCTTGTAGAGTAAATTAAGGGCCCTTTACAACGAACAGGACCTTCTCAGGCACACAGAGGGCCCTCTCAGACACACAGAGGGCCCTCTCAGGCACTCAGAGGCCCTCTCAGGCACTCAGAGGACCCTCTCAGACACACAGAGGGCCCTCTCAGGCACTCAGAGGGCCCTCTCAGGCACTCAGAGGGCCCTCTCAGGCACTCAGAGGGCCCTCTCAGGCACTCAGAGGGCCCTCTCAAGCACTCAGAGGGCCCTCTCAGGCCCGAGGGCCCTCTCAGACATCTTGAAGAGGTCGAAAAGAGCCCTCTGAGCTCAAAGAGGGCCCTCTGAGATCAAAAAGGGCCCTCGGAGGCAACAGAGGGCCCTACAATGCAACAATAGAGCCCCCTGTGGTCACCAAAGGGCCCTCTG